TCAACCTGCATAATTACACTTGACGTTTGAGCGCGGCTTGCCTAATTGTGATTGTTCAACAGATTGCACAAGACCATATGGGCCGCGCTTCAGAGATTTTCAATCTCGCCGTCTTGTACTTTTGCCTTCGAAAACCATCCTTGCTCCACAGCGTTGCTCTATTTGCGCTGCCATGTAATCCATTAGAGTAGGTTTAGAACATAGCCATGGTTAATAGTGCATAATAGCAACCGTATAGATTGCTTTCCACCCTTTATTGATAGCAAATCGCTGGAACAGGTGGACGATCCAGAGCTCCGTGGCCGATATATGATGCAAAGACATCTACGCGCGACACACCTTACAAACTTTGCCGCGGCGCCGATTCTTGATCGGTATCCAAGCGTGCGAAGGCATAGAGACGCTGCACTTCTTTGATCACGCCGCGAGACCGGCGAAATTTGCTTTCGACGAGTTGTGCCTTTTTCCTGCGGCGCTGCGCTTTCGTAAAAATGTTCACGTGTTCTCAACGGCAAGTCCCAACGCTTACGCAGGGTCTTAAAAAAACTTCTTCAACGAATGACGACGAACGAGTAGAAAACGTGTCTTCGGTACACTGTCGCCAGCCTCTGCAACTCTAGAAAAACCGCAATTTGTTTACGAGCAAGATGGCCGTCCGGTGGCTTCACCCGCGGGAGTGGGAAGAGCGATCCAGCATGTCATAGAGACCACACATGCTACCGCAGCGCCGCCGCGTGCATCCGGGACCTTTTTCACGCTCGCCGCTTCACAGCAATGCATGGAGCGCGTCGGTGCCTGATTTCACCACCCCTCCTCTATACACCTTTCCAAAAAACACTCGACCCCAGGGGCAACAAACCGTTTGTGAGCCCAGTCACTTAGTTTGAGGCTAGACTCTCACCGGCGTCCCTCCTAACCCTAACCGAGTGGACTGTGATTTCAATAGGCGCAGCCTGCGTAGGTGCAGTTTCAAACGCTGCTGGCGGCTAAATTCTCGTCTTTTCCCGCTATATTTTGTGTTTCATAAAACATGTATGTTCCCGAGGACATTGAGAAAGCATTGTGCCACATTTAAAAACACAAAAAAAGTAAAAAAAAAATCTAAACTATTTTTGTTGGGTACACGCGCGACAGAACGAATGCGACTGGAATGAATAGTTCTAGTTATTTGTTTTTTTCTTGCGATAAGTTTTGACGGCACCGCGGGATTCGCCGCATGTGAAACGACAAAGGGCTTTGCTGTCAAAAATAAATTGCAACAGAAGAGGGCCGAAAGGCATGCATTTTTCACGCTCACAAATAACGTGTTTACCGATGGACAGGACACGGACATACGATTGAGGAAGTGTTAACATTCGAACAATATATCATACGTACCACACGATGGAGCGTTATCCGAAAAGAATTTATTTGAGAAAGATCTCAAATAACACAGTCACAGTCGACGACAGTCACATCTTGACGATCGAACGTAATCCGAGATGACTTCGTTTCGGGGCACGTCTTGGGGAGAGCTTCCTTTTTTCACAACCGCACCAAGGCAAAGAAACAAACGCGACTGACCCGTTTCTCACCCCAACCCGGACAACTGTTTTTGGAGATGGCTGAGGATTTTACGCGGATTATCTCTGGGAGGGGGGAGAACAATGTTCGCAAAATCGCGTCGAGGGTCGTTCGACGTCCTTCACGTCTTTCGTTTCCCGTGAATGTCGAGCAGAAAAGCTTGAATGGCAGGCACTTACCAGCCTTATTTCTCACAATGGAAGATAACACAGAAAGGGTACGCAGCACGCATAAAAAAAAATTCAGTGGAAGCTTTCAAGAGGGGCGAGAAAACGTCGAATGCAAAACCGCGAAAACGTAGGTAGAGAACCGCGCTGAGCGGGTCTTCACAGTCCCAGAGAGTGGCAGAAAATTTCTAGCTGATAGAGGGCGCGAGAGTCGCACCAACAGCATCAGCATCAGCAACATGGCGGCGGCCTAGGAGCGGTTTTTGGAAACGTGTATACTCCCCCGTACGAAAATGCCAGATACAGGCCGGAATAAAAAATGCCGGTTCCGCCTGGACCCAAAATTGGGGCACCAGTTTGTATCCAGCCTGGAACCGCGCAGTTCCAGACGGGATACAAACTGGTGCCCCAGGCTGTGCGCCGCCGGAATTCCCGCTGCGCTCACCACTGGACCCTACAAAACTATTTCGTGCGATGCCCTTCGCCGTTACAAGCAAGAGTGTCGCGATTTCAAAGCCAGGCGGAAGAGCCTGGGTCTGAAATCGCGACAATCTTTCGCTTGTAACGGCTATGGGGATCGCGCGAAATACTTTAGTAGAGTCCAGTGATGAGCGCAGCGGGAATTCCGGAAACGCACATGGTCGTCCAGGCGTCGTCACCAAACACGGTGCACAGAACACACACAGCGCGTAAAAGCACAGTATCCAGTGTTGAGCGCATCGGGAAGTTCCGGCGAGCAACCGGTATCCGAGTTGTCCGAGTATTATCACCAAGCATACCAGCGCCAAGCGCATCCAGATGCCGAGCCAAGGTGCAATGGGTCGGCAGCTTCATACTATATGAAGATCCAAAGCCGAGGTCAGTGGGTATCCATCCAGGGAAACGATGGGCGCGTCAGTATCTCTCAGAGCGCTGCCGCCGACTGCAATGCAACAGACAAAGCGAGGACAGCGATTAGCGCGCGGAGAACGCCCGCTCGCAGCGCCTGCGTAGCGGATGCGCCTTTCCCTAACACGTGACCTGCGAGAGACCGCGGAAATTCCCCGCCGACCCCCCCCTCCCCCCCCCCCCCCCCCCCCCCCCCCTCCTCCAACCTAGGTGTTGTGTGAGCGCCCGCTGGCTGGGAGTGGAACCAAAGGGAATGGATCGAATCCACCCATTACCGTGCGGTTCCACGCGTTGCGTCTCGCTGGATCCGACTGGTTACACTCAGAAGCGCGCGCTACCAGATCGGATTCGCGCGGATCTGAACTGTGTACAAGTTTAGAACTGCGCGAGTCCGAAGTGGAACCGCTCCAATCTGACATTTTCGTATGGGCCGTTTCATACTTAGTATGCAACGATGTCAAAGCTACTGGCTCGAGCGCGTAGCTTCATCTATATGGTTTCATTTGCGCGAGAAGGCGTGCAGATGCGTCGAGGAAATCAAGCCCCATGCTCGCGCCAGCAGCTTTGACAGCGTTGTACATAAAGTATGAAACGGAGTATAGTTCACTGTAGCACTGCCTATCCTTGCTAGAATTATGTATACGACAGCCGCAAGCCTGTGCCAACCGACCCCGTTTTTTATATATATATTTATTTGCGGTCATAGCTGTGGGCACAACTGCTGAGAGCATGCTGGCGGCAAGCTTCCGCAGTTTCTTTGTAACGTGCATACCGAACCATGTGCTCTAAACATCGCCCTCAAATATGGCACAGCACCAGCTCATCGGGCTTTCAACATTCTTGACTTCACAAGGCCGATGGGGCACCACCGCTGTTAAGAAAAGTCTTCGAGCAAAAGGAAGGCTGAGGAGGAGGAAGCAGACGGAACGCTGGAGGGAGGAGGTTTCCTTTTCTTCCCTCCAGCATTCCGTTTGCTTCCTCCTCGCTAGCCCTCCTTTCCCTCTAAAGCTTTTCTTAACCTGTAAGGAGTTTAGTCTGCTAGAGTATGGCGACATTGTTGCCCACTATAAATTAATTTAGCCACTGCAGTACGACTGCTAGCCCGGGGTCTTTAATGTGCATCAAACAGAAGTGATACACGACCGTACGCCGGTACAACGCTCATCCAAATCGAAACCTGAATGGATGGATGGATGAATCCGGCTGAGCCCTTTGTATCGGGCGGTGGCCTACGCCATCTAGCCATTTTGTTTTACCATTTAAGCTTAGAATATTTAAATGTGAAAACTATATTTACTCCACACTGAAAAGAAAGTGAGGCTATAAAACCTCCTTGCAATTAGTTAATAAGAAAATACTTAGTTTTCTCTCGCTTTCTGCCACGATTCACTTAATCTTTGCTTGGTAATTATACTTCGTTTCAGCTTCGGTCCAGACGCAGCCGATGCTACAAGCGCGAGCATGTGGCCCAGAACAGTGCTTGCACTGCACGAGCGCGCGTGCTTGCCAGGGATGCTGAAAGCCCGGAGCTCGCGCTTGTAGGTTTGGCTGCGTCTGGACCGAAGCTGAAACGAAGTATACCAGTTCTGACGAATGGTACTTATCTGAAGTTACTCCTCTTAATTTCCTAGTGCGCTGTCTCCACCTTGAGTCTATACTCGCCACCGCCAGCGCCACCAGTGAGCGCTCCGGGGCATTATGGGAACTGTGAGGGTGTCGCGCCTCTTAGCCAAGCCAAGTCTAGCCTAGTCGAGCTTTTGCGTACTTGGCGGCCCACGCTACCGCCCGAACTGCAGCACCATTCTTGTTCCATTCATGCATCCAGGCGAGCTAACGGCCTTCAAACGACACAAGCTGCGTTTTTTTTTTTTTTTTTTTTTGGCGAAGGGAAATAAAATGTAGCAACTAAGTCAACTAATTTCCGTAGCAAAATTTAAAAAAAAAAAAAAAGTTGGTTGAGCCAGTGATATTTTGCTTTTTTGTCGCGTGGCCCGCGCACGATGGCCCATTCAAAACAGAATGGTGGCCTATCCAAAACGATGGCCCATTCAAAAAAGGGCGCAGAGTAATGTGCTTGAAGGTTTCTCATCTCATGTGGGCAACGCAGCGCAGCACAGGGCGCTGCAAAGATTGCCGTGTGACGTACACAGGGACCCAACGCGAACGTAGGAAACCTGTTTCTCGCAGGCGGTACGGCGTACGGCCACGAGGAAGGCATGACGTCAGCCGTAGCTTTCCGAAGCCAACCTCCCGTGTCGCTCGCCTCTTTCTTATTCTCCTCGCCAATCATTCTTTCAAATATGAGCCATGCGTGACCACTGAATGGTACATGGTGATTGCGTCTACGAACTGAGTGAGACCATATTCTACCCTGGTCCTGTTCATAAATTGCAAGGGCTGACTGCGCCTGCTGCCTTTTATTTGGCCGCGTAACAAGGAACTCAAGCATGATGTTTTTTTAGAGTCGGTTACCATCGAGCAAGTGGATGCGTAGTAGTAGACAACCTTTAATTGCGCCCAGAAAGACTAAGCGATTGGTCGGAAATAGATCTAGGAGTCCCCTTACAACCACACCTTAGGCGGCGGCCAGAATCCCTTGGACTCCAGCGGCGAATAGCTGCCCAGTTCTCTTGGTTGGTGATCTTTTTTCGTAGCGGTTGGGCTTTACGGTCGAGCCGGCTGCATTCCCATACCATGTGGCGGAGTCGCTCTTGCACCGCATAGCTGGCAGTCTCCCTTGTAGCGATACGGATGTCATCGGTGTGACAAGCATGTAGCGCCCTCTCCCGTCCACCCGCCGATGGCCGCCAGCCTCGGTGGGCAACATTGTTCACCACACGAATAAACTTCGGCTTCCCATTATAAAATGGGAAGCCGAAACTACAAAACCAGCAGCAATAAAAAGAGGACTTAGACAGGGTTGCCCATTGTCTCCCCTGCTCTTTATGATATACCTCAGTGAGATGGAAAAAAGATTGGAACAGTGCAACCTAGGTTTTGACCTGAATTACATGGAGGAAGGACATAAGGTAAATCAACTATTGCCAGGGTTAATGTATGCAGACGACATTGTACTCGTATCAGAAAGCCGTGAGACAATACAGGAACTGATTAGGATTTGCAGCAGGGAAGGGGACAGTTTAGGACTAAAATTCAGTAGGGACAAGTCGGGTATAATAGTTTTCAACGATGAGAAGGGGGGACCCCTGGAGATACAGGACACAGTGATAGAACACGTAGAAAAGTACAAATATCTAGGGGTCTGGCTCAATGAAGGAAGGAAATATCTGGAGGAACACGAGGAGAATACAATTAGAAAAGGGAAAAGAAATTCATCTATTATGAAGCTCAAGGCACTATGGAACTATAACAGATATGAAGTGGTCAGAGGTATATGGAAGGGAGTGATGGTGCCAGGACTGTCATTTGGCAATGCAGTGCTGTGCATGAAATCTGAGGTTCAATCAGGGCTAGAAATTCGACAAAGAAGCGTAGGCAGATTGGCGCTGGGAGCACATGGAAAAACACCAAATGAGGGAGTACAGGGGGACATGGGATGGTCGTCTTTTGAGAGCAGGGAGGCAATTAGTAAGTTGAAATTTGAAGAAAGGTTGACTGAAATGGAGGATACGCGGTGGGCACGTAAGGTATTCAAGTATTTATACATGAAAAGTTTAAACACAAAATGGACAAACCGAACCCGAAAGCTTACATTTAAATATCTACACACTGGTGATGGGGCTGAACAGACTACGTCAGTGAAAAAGAAGGTGAAAGAGGCGGAGAGGAAAATTTGGGAGGGGAGAATGCAGGAGAAATCAGCTTTAGCAGTGTACAGGTCACGAAAGCAGGAGATAAGAAAGGAAAAGCTATTTGACAATTCACTGGGAAGTGCTTTGCTGTTCGAGGCAAGAACGGGAGTTTTGAGGACAAAGACGTATAGGGCTAAATTTCAGGAGACCGACACATTATGTGCCGCCTGCCATAATGATAGCGAGACACTGGAGCACTTGGTTTTGAAGTGCACGAGGCTTCGTCCTGCCCTCCCTGAAGGGGTAACGGATTTGGCCGGGGCCCTGGGTTTCACTGGCGACGATGGAGGGATGGTAGAAAAACAGATTACAGTGACAAAGAGACGATTAGAAGATTGGTGGAAATTATCTAGGGAAAATTAAATGATGGAAAACTAACTAGCACAGCTGGGAACAGGCGGGACAGAGGAAAATTGGGACTCCCTCCCGCGTGGCTCCGGCCCAAAGTCTCAACCCTGTCTCCCAGTGGGTCCGGTGCTGGGGTAACGCCGAAAAGGTTTGACCAGAGGAAAATTGGCGACTCCCTCGCCGGGGGGAAGAGGCAGGGGGGTGATGTTTTTTTAGTTTTTTTGCCCGATCCCCCGAAGGTCATCCTGGTGATATCCCACACTGCCTGGTGATAGTTGGGGGACAAAAATTGGTCTTAAAAGGGCGGGAGGAATCACGTTTTTGTCTTTTTAGACTTAGGCTAGGTGGCGCAAGCTACCGCCCGTTACAAAGGGAATAGCCATTAACATCCATCCATCCATCCATCCAACACCGTTGAGCGCACGCCGCTCCGGTCAGACATCGTCCACCCTCACAACCAGGCTGCGTGTCGTCTCTCCTCGGCGGGTGCTTCGGCCCCCTTCGTCCACGTTCCAGAAAGATCGTGACACTGGCGACGAGGAACCGTGGCACTGGAGGCTACCAACGTGCACGGTTCGGCCCACGCCGCCGAGAGAGTCGCAACACCGCCGCCCGCTCCTGTCGCCATGCCGCTCTACGGGAGGCTCGAGCCGTTCGACGGAGATGGGTCCGCCTGGCCAGTCTACGAAGAACAAGTCCACGTGTTCTTCCGGGCGAACGACACGCCCGAGGGGAAACAACGGGACATCTTCCTGGCCAGCTGCGGGACCCGAGTCTTCAGCCTCCTGCTCGACCTCCTCAAGCCGGCCACGCCGCACGTTAAAACGCTGGGTGAGCTGCTCGCCACGCTGCGCTCGCACTTCAGCCCGGCGCCGTCCACGCTTATGGAGCGGTTCCGCTTCAACAACCGGAGCCGCCAGGACGGGGAGACCCTCGGGCAGTTCGTCGCTGCGCTACGAGGGTTAGCGAGCACCTGCGCCTTCGGCGACCAGTTGGACTCGCTACTCCGGGACCGGTTCGTCTGCGGCATCAACAACCCTGCCATGCAGACGCGACTCCTGGAGCTCCCCGAACCCTCGCTGGACGACGCGGTGAAGGCAGCGCTGGCGATGGAAGCAGCAGCGAAAGACGCCAGCGAGATAGCGCGTGCGGCCGGCTCACCGTCGACGCAAGCGGCGGTGAACAAGATGGCGGCAAGGAGCGGTGTCTGCAGCCGCTGCGGTGCTGCTCACTCCCCCTCACTGTGCCAGTTCGTCCACGCACAATGTTTCACGTGCGGGAGAACTGGGCACCTCGCACGTGTCTGCCGAGGGGGGAGGACGAGCGGCGGCCAGCAGCAGCAGCAGCCTGGTTCAAGCCCGGGTTCCAGTCAAGCCCGCGGCCAGGGTGGCCGTCGCAAGAGAACGCGGCGGGGACGAGCGGCACCAGGCCCGGGTTCGTCTTCAGCCAGGGTCCACGTCGTGGCCGAGGACCCGCAGATTTTCGACGTGTGGCAGACGAGTAAGCCCCCATCGTCTGTGCCACCTTACTTGGTGTCCGTCGAAATCTGCGGCCACCCCATCACCATGGAGCTGGACACGGGGGCCAGCGTGTCGGTCATGCCCGGGAAGCTGTTCAAGCGGACCTTCCCTGGCGTGTCCATCGAGGCGTCTGACGTCATGCTGCGCAGCTACTCCGGGCAGCTTTCCCAGGTCCAGGGTCGGGCCCAAGTCAGCGTTCGCCTTGGCGACAGGGAGGCAATCCTTCCCCTTTACTTAACCAAGGGGTCGTCGCCGACGCTGCTGGGCCGAAACTGGATTCACTCGCTGGGTGTTCGGCTGCCGGAGTACCAAGAAGCTGCGCTGCACGTGGTACGAGACGTCCCGAGCCTCCTGACCGACTTCCAGTCCCTGTTCCAGCCGGGGGTGGGCACCTTTGCCGGCACGACGGTCGGCATCCACGTACCCGAGGGAGCCCGGCCTCGGTTTTTCAAGCCGCGGACGCTGCCGTTTGCCCTGAAGGACGGGGTCACCCAGGAGCTGTAACGGCTGCAGCGAGAGGGTATCCTGGTGCCCGTCAAGACTTCCGAGTGGGCTGCACCAATTGTCCCAGTCCTCAAGCGAGACGGCCGCGTCAGGATCTGCGGGGACTTCAAGGTCACCATCAACCCCGTCGCTACCGTCGAGAAGTACCCGCTGCCTCGGGTAGAAGACCTCTGGTCGGCTCTGTCCGGGGGATAGAAGTTCACTAAGCTCGACCTTCGAGATGCCTACCAGCAGCTGGTGCTCCAGGATGCCGCCCGGAAGTATGTCACCATTTCGACAACGATGGGACTCTTCCAGTACACGCGCCTACCGTTCGGCGTGGCCTCAGCCCCAGCCATCTTCCAGAGAGAGATGGACAACCTCTTCAGGGGCATGAGGCACGTGGCGGTGTACTTGGACGACATCCTGGTTACCGGTACCGACGACGGGGACCACCTGCAGAACCTGCGCAAAGTCCTGACACGATTGCAGGACGCCGGTCTCAAGCTGAGGCTGGACAAGTGCGTGTTCCTGACCCCCAGCGTGGAGTACCTGGGACACATCATCTCCCAGGCTGGCCTGGCCCCGGCACCCCGCAAGATTGAGGCCGTGCTCAAGGCGCCGAAGCCCAAGAGCAAGAAGGAGCTTCAGAGCTACCTCGGCCTCATCAACTTCTACAGGAGGTTCCTGCCCAACCTGTCGACGCATCTAGAGCCGCTGCATCGCCTGCTTCGTGATGGGCAGCAGTGGGCCTGGAAGAAGGAGCAGGACTTGGCCTTCCAGCGCAGCAAGGAGCTGGTCGTTAAGGCTCCAGTGCTTGTGCACTTCGATCCGGCCAAGCCTGTGGTCCTCACCGTGGATGCGTCGCCGTACGGGGTAGGAGCCGCCCTGTCGCACCGGGGTCAGGATGGTCAGGAACGTCCTGTGGCGTTTGCTTCTCGTCGACTACATGCGGCGGAGCAACGCTACAGCCAGCTTGACAAGGAAGGCTTGGCCCTCCTCTTCGGGGTCCAGCGCTTCCATCAGTACCTGTGGGGCCGGCAGTTCGAGGCAGTCACGGACTACAAGCCGCTGCTGGGGCTGCTGGGACCTGACAAGGCGGTCCCAGTGCAAGCATCGCCTCGTGTGGTACGCTGGGCCTTGACGCTGGCAGCCTACAGGTACAAGCTGGTCTACCGCCCTGGGAAGGACTTGGGACCTGCTGATGCCCTGAGCCGCCTGCCCCTGCCGGAGGTGCCTGCTGCCGTTCCAGAGCCAGCTGACGTGTTCCTGCTGGAGCGGGCCTACCCGGGGGTGCTCACCAGGACTGCGGTGGCGCAGGCGACCAGCCGGGACCCGGTCCTGTCTCAGGTGGTCAAGGCGGTTGCCCGAGGGGAGGAGCTGCGTCACCAGGCGTACAGCCACAAGTGTGCCGAGCTGAGCTTGGAGCAAGGCTGCCTCCTGTGGGGTTCCAGGGTGGTGATTCCACAAAGTCTGCGGGCCAAGGTGCTGCAGCTGCTGCACGCGGGGCATCCTGGCATCGAAAAGACCAAGATGGTGGCACGGTCGCACGTTTGGTGGCCTGGCTTGGACCAGGACATCGTGCACCAGGTGCAAGGCTGCCAGGTCTGCCAGGAGAACCAGCGAGCCTCGCGCCACGTGGAAATCACCCCCTGGCCGTTCCCACAGAGGCCGTGGTCCCGCTTGCATGTGGACTATGCGGGACCCTTCAAGGGCCACTACTTCCTGGTGGTAGTGGACGCCTTCTCCAAGTGGGTGGAGGCACTGCCAGTCACCAGTCCCTCGGCAAGCGCGACCATTGCGGCGCTGCGGCAGGTCTTTGCGGCGCAGGGATTGCCGGACATTATTGTGTCCGACAATGGTCCCGCTTTCGCTAGCGCCGAGTACCTCGACTGGCTGCAGAGAAATGGGATCCGCCGGATGCTGGTTCCGCCGTACCACCCCGCTTCCAATGGTGCAGCAGAGCGGGTGGTACAGACCCTCAGGAACAAGCTGAAGAGGAGCCAGCCCGGGGATTTTCGGACGCAGGTGGCCCGGGTACTGTTCCAGTACCGGACCACACCGCATGAGGTCACTGGCCGTGCCCCCTGCGAGCTTCTGCTGGGCCGGATGGTCAAGACCCCCCTGGACGTCTTGCATCCAGACCTCCGGTCCACGGCGCTCCTTAAGCAGCTGAAGCAGAAGCTGGCTGCTGACCGAGGGTGCCGTCCCGGGCCTTTGCCGGAGCCGGGAGCGTCGGTGTACGCCAGGAACTTCCGTCCTGGCCCACCATGGTCTGCCGGGCGTGTGGTTTCACCAGCGAGTGCCTCGTCGCTGCTCGTCCGCATGCCCGACGGGACCACCTGGCACCGGCACGCCGACCATGTCAGGCCTCGCCTCGGGACCTGGCTTCCACCCTCGGTCGTCGCTTCTGAGGACCAGCCTGCAGGGGACCCAACAGCACCAGTCGTGGCCAGCGGAGCGCCACCCACCCCGGAGGCGACAAGCGTCGCCACTCCTCAGGCACCAGTTGGACCGGTGCCAATCCCTTATCCGGTCCCTGCAGCTCCACCGGGTGGAGCGCGACCGGTACAGGCAGCGCCCGGCGTTGCCCCACCTGGCCCATCGACTCCAGTGCCCAGGCGGAGTACGCGGCAGCGAAGGCCACCTGACCGCTACTCGCCTGGGTGATCTTCGCCGTCGACCAGCCAGGACTTGGTACGAGCAGACGCCGAGTTGGTGTCGGCCGTGTGTTTTTTTTTATATATATTTTGTTTTAGGAAAAACAAACTGGGGGGGAGGGATGTGACAAGCATGTAGCGCCCTCTCCCGTCTACCCGCCGATGGCCGCCAGCCTCGGTGGGCAACATTGTTCACCACACGAATAAACACCGTTGAGCGCACGCCGCTCCGGTCAGACATCGTCCACCCTCACAACCAGGCTGCGTGTCGTCTCTCCTCGGCGGGTGCTTCGGCCCCCTTCGTCCACGTTCCAGAAAGATCGTGACAATCGGCTGAGCTGGGCAGGGCTGGGGTAGGTGCCTGTCTGTAGTCGCCACCACGCTACCGCTTGTCTCTTGTCCAGCGAGGGATGCGCCGTAGGGTAGCGCGTCCTTTCGCCAGCGTAATAATCGCGGATGTCTCGGTACGTGACCAGTCTGTCGACCCCCGTCAACAATTCGGTATATTCTCCCTCTTGGTCATAGAGCCTTATTTTTTTTAGTTGTCGCATCATGACGAGGATCTTGTCGAACTTGGCGTTTTGCGTCTGGGCCTCCTTGCTCTTCTTGACCGAGGCGTTGTGGTCGGTCACCCCGGCCCAGATGACCCGCTGTCGGGAGCTGGTCCCCTTCCTGGAGCCGGACCGCTGCCGCGAGGTCGACCGCACGGAGGCTCGGCTCCGTGACCGCAACCGTCTTTTGGGAAACGGCGGGAAGTCCTTATCCTTGAACGTACTCTCCTCTTGTTCCTTCTTCTTCTCCCACTGCGGGATGCACGGCGTCTTGAAACGCTGCTTGCACCGTGTGTCACCCATGGGGTTAGCCTATTGCCGCTGATGCCGCACGACGGCGAACACGGGTGGCCATCTGTCGGGTTTAGAGCGTTGCAATTCTTGCACCGATGCTCTTTCGGCCGCGGACACACGTCGGTTCGATGTCCGACTCCGCCGCACGTACCGCACACTTCGATCTTTTTCTTATACAGGTGGCATTTGTACTCCACGTTACCATTCATGATCCAGAACGGCGCCTTCTGGCCCTTGAAAAGCACGACCGCCGACTTGGAACAACCCATCCGTCTGGCATGAAGCACGTTGGGGTTCCTCGCCGTGACTAGGTTTTTTAGAACGTCTTGCTCGGAGTCTTCGTCCGGTATCCCGTGAATCCCATCCTTGATGGTGTCGTCCAGCGGTATTGCGTCCGCTACATTTTCGTAGGTTTGTCCCTCGAGACTTACAGAGTGCAGTCCTCCGTACTTGACGGCGTTTTCGAGTGCCGGAGTGCTCACGATGAGCGTATTTTGCTCCTCGTTGAAGCGAAAAGCATCGTGTCCTGCTTGTTCCGGTACGAGAGCTGCGCCGCGCGTTGAATGCTGCGTTGGGCCCAAGACTCTGTCTTCTTTCTACGTTTAAACCGCCCTGAAGTCGAAAAACTATCTTTGCATCGTCTTCCGGAAGGTTCGGAGGCACTGGCGCCTTCTTTATTGGAGCTCGGCCCTTCCCGCCCGTTCTTCCTACCGAAAGTGCGGTTTGGTTGAAAACCGGCCGCTAGGGTTTCGCGCTTTCTTCTCTGCTCGGGCCTTGAGTAAGACCGGCCTCCAACATCCACCAGCAGAGTGGAGTGATTTCTTCTCCTTCTACCTCAATGGCTCCGTTTCCGGGGTGTCCAACTTGACGTCGGTGCAACGGCTGCGGCCGCCCTCAATTTGTTTCAATAGCGCGTGAGGTTGAGCGAAGCGGCGCCTCGTTTCGTCAAGAAAAACGGTGAAAACTTGAGACAAAAACGGCCCGCTCACCCAAGAATTTGGTGTACGGAGGTTTCTCTCGCGTTTCGCCGCATGTTGGTGGAGAAAGATTTGGAACTACAGTGCAGGAGGTTCGCTGAAAACTTGAAAGTTCACGGAGCCGATGCGAGATGCGTCCGGCCCAGATCACTTCGTCGGCGACTTTCTGGATACCAGCGTTCTAAATGTGCGTGGGTTCGTTCAGCTTGAGAACAGTGTTTTGCACCGGCAGAAATTTAAATACAAATTTTGACAGCCTTATTTTGTGCACGCCCCTGTGAAACGTTTTGTGGACACTCACACAACTTCACAATACGTTTGGGAATGTTCTTTGTGTACATCGCAACCAATATTGAACCATGGTTGAGTTTGACTATTAATTGTTTTATTAATATATATCATGACCAACGTTACACCTACGCAATTTGACTTGGCAGGGGCACATATATGTGGCACGACTGTCGAATTCATCAAATTTAAAGCGAACGAAACTCCACTCCACTTCGATGAAGTCCAGTCACTGTTGCAACAACGGGCCGAAATCCATCGTTTGGGCAGTTCGGTAATTCTCAGAAATCTAAGTCAACCGCTAATATAAGCTCACGTTAGTGCGTTCAGGACGTAATATGCCGGTTAACGAAACTTCCTGCGGAAGGTTTCTGTACTGTTCACACTGCAAAGCCCTATATTTGTCTCTGCGGCGCCACGCACTTTCGTTTTTACACAAACAGCAGAGCGGCTCCGCTCGTCCTGTCGTCGTGGTTCATCATCCGCCCATCAGGGCCTCGCACGTCTCGCCGGTCTCGCTTTCACGCCGGAGAGGTTGCAGCTCTCCGGCGCGCAAAGCTGGCACATCGCAGGGCGTCCACTTCTCCAGTTTCGTTTGGTAGAACTTTCCAGACGCACGATGGACCGCGACGAGCTCAACGCAGTCCGTCGTCTGCGCCTCGAGGCCTCGGCCTCGCCTCCTCTCGCTCACATAAACCCTGCCCCGGGAGGAAGCGAGCACAACGCTTCTGCCACTCCCATGCAACCAACCACCCAACTCGCATGTGACAGGGTCACGTGCACTACACGTGGGTGCAAGTATCGTTTAATCTTTTTTTTTTTTTTTTTTATGACTGGGCATTAACAAAGTCAGGTGACAACCTCCCCGTGGGTACGGGGCACGGTGTAAGATACATTCTTTAGGTGAGGACACGGCGGGGCTGAACGCGCGGCGCGAGGAATCAGATAGTACATGTTCGCTCGACGGGCATCCGAAAGGCTGCATTATTCCGCGGCCACCGTGCCCGCGTCACCGGCGAAACTGCGTGAGAGCGAAAACAATTATCTCGTTGCCATGACACCCCGGTACAACGTGGTCTTTCTGCACGAGCGACAGCCTCGCTGGAGCTCTGCGCGTGTGGAGCATGAGGCGGCACTAGCCGTCTTTGCCGTGCCCACGGGCCGGCAAGTCATCTGCCGGCGACGCTTGAAACCATAGTAAGAGATAGAGTGAAAAGCGAACTTTATCTGCACTGCGCGAGGAGCGCGCTGTCCTCACCGTGGTACGGGGTAGCAGCAGACGACGGAGCAGCGACCCTCACTGTTCCCATGCTTCATGATGCGGGGCACGTGAGGGCCCGTGCTTCTTTCCGGAATGGTCCAATTTTCTGCCTGCGTAGGTTTTTGTTTTTATGGTTGACCGAAGGTTACGAGAGAAGAAGAAGTTACTCCACAGCGGGACCCTCAACAGCGTCGCGATGTTATCCGGCCCCAACAAAATTGTGCCCGCAGCGCCAGCGGCCAACGCTCCAAAGTCACAGATCGCGATGGCCCCGCCGCCCGTTCCCACTCTCCAAAAACGTTATATCATTGGCTTCGAGCAGGCAGGCTTTCCGGACTGGACAGAGATGGAATTCGCGAGTCCCATTCCCCGCTTCACGGCCTGCCTGGTATGCGGCTCGATCGCGTCAGAGATGCTCTGGTCCCGATGCTGGCACGTCTTCTGTCCGCTCTGCGCGGCCCTGTTGACTCGCGACGACGAATCGCTGCCGTGTCCCTTCGACGGCGTTCAGACAAATGCCGCTGCTCTGCATCGGGACAAAATCGCCATTGAGGTCTTGCTCGCGTTCAGGGTATTCTGCCCGAACCGATCTCTTGGATGCGATCACATAGGCCCCATGGAAAAACTCCGAGACCACATGCGACTGTGCGGTTTCTACGACATACGGTGCCAAATCTGCGGCACCTGGTTGAAGCGGTTCCAGCTCCGAGAACACGCCACTCAAGGTTGCGCTCTTCCCGAAGACACACTCGTCGGCCGACGCATTCATGAAGTCGTAAACGGCCACCTCTACCCCGACATAGAGAAGATGGTGGCCGTCGAGGAGGCCGCTGTGACGGCACGAGAAGCCGGCGAAAGGCCCTCGAAACTGTCGGTGATCTTCAACGGGAACAGCCAGGAATACGACGTGCTCAGCATGATTTCGGCCATGAAGGAAATGTGCCGGGAGTACGAAGGCTTCAAGAACGCCTTCAATGGCGTCCGCGAGACCGTGGACATCCACGTCGAGCAAATGCGCGCGGACGTCGAGGCCCTGGAAGTGAAGCTCCAGACCGAGCAACGTCACTGGAGGGACGACCTTCTCTCGGACGTACGCTTCGTCAGGGACGTCCTCGGAACGCGGAGCTTCGACTGGCAGATCTCGCCCTACTCCAAACTCAAGCGGCCCGCCATTAGAAAGAAGCTTCTTCTCAAGAGTGAGGGTTTCTACATTGGGTACCAGGGGTACCACGTGGCGCTCTCCGGGAGCTTCCTAAAGAACCCGACCGATGGCAAAATTTACGTGAATGTGTTCGTGCACCTGCTGAAGGGCATCTTCGATTCTGTGCTCAGCTGGCCGTACCGCAAGCTGACTAGCGTGAAGTTGCTGAATCAGACCGACGACGGCGTGGACAAGGTGGTGACCTTCGACCCCTGCGAAGCGTGCGAGGACGAAAAGGACAGCTTCCAGCGGCCCAAGGGCCCGAGGAATGTGGGCTACGGGTTCCGCTTAGCGCCCCTTGAAGAGCTTGAGCACCCCGCAAACGGGTTCCTCAGAAGCGATTCTTTCGTTGTACAGCTCACCGTCGGATTTCCCTAGTCGCGTGGATGTTTTGGCAAGGGTGAAGACTCCTATTTTAAAATTGCCTGCGCGAGTAATTTAATAAAACACATCAATCGCTAATGACACCTTACTTAACTTTCTTTTTATTTTTTTTTTATTTTTTTATTTTGGAATTGCACTTGTTACTTTATTTAGATTTGAAATTGAACATGTCCAAAATGGGCAGAAGGCGCGGCAAGCGATATTTATAGGAAACAATTCTGGAGCCATGTATGGTCACGGCCGGACTGGAAGCGCACTCGCTTTCTCCTCTTACGGCCTTTGCAATCGCCCTGGAGTCAATAGGAAGTTTTCGTAGACCGCGTTTCCCACTCCGCTAAGCCCTCCGCAACGAAGAAGCCGCTAATAGGGAGTTTCCGTAGACCGCGCTGCCCCCTCCGCTAAGCGTTCCGCAACGAAGTTGCTACTGCGCCTGCGCGCCGATAGCCTTGACTGTGGAGTTCCCGCTATCGTAGCGGGTTGCGGAGGGCCTTGCGGGACGGCGAAAACGATGTACAAAAAAGTGAAAGCCGTTTACAAATCCCTGTAACGCCGAATTGGAGCGCAGCTCTTGAGGAGGAGGAGTGAAGGGTACTGAGGGGAGGGTAGACCCCTCCTCCTCCCCTCATTCTTTAATATGCTCCGGGGGGGCGGTCACGTGACCTCGGGGGGGGGGGGGTGTCACGTGACTTCGGGGAGGGGGGTCACGTGACCTCGGGGGGTCACGTGACCTCAGAGGGGTCACGTGGCCTGGGGGTCACGGGGGTCACCTTGGGGCCACGTGACCTTGAGATGACCTTGGGAGGGGTCACGTGACCTTGGGGGTCACGTGACCTTGGGGAGGAGACCACGTGACCTCGGGGGTCACGTGACCTCAGAGGGGTCACGTGACTTGGGGGTCACGTGACCTTCAGAGGGTCACGTGGGGTCTTGGGGTCACGTGACCTTGAGATGACCTTGGGAGGGGTCACGTGACCTCGGGGGGTCACGTGACCTTGGGAGACGTGGGGTCACGTGACCTTGGGAGGGGTCACGTGACCTTGGGATGACCTTGGTTACGCCGACGGCGACGGCGACGCCGCTCAAGCCGGGAACGGGCCCCTAAGAGCTGCGCTCTAAAACTACCTAATGCGCCTGCGCGCCGATGGCCTTGACTGTAGAGTTCCGGGTAGCGTAGCGTGTTGCGGGGAGCTTTGCGGGACGGCGAAAGCGATCTACGAAAATTCCCTAATGACATTTTTCCTCCGTATGTAGTTCACTTGCTTGCCGCCAGGGGCGCAACCACCTCACCCCACTTAAAGCCCCTGTATACGGAAAAGTAGCGACATCCTTTGAAGAATGCCGCCTGCTATCTTAGAGCGATCCAGGCGGCACTACCGTCGACGCGCGAGCGCGAAAGAGCAAAATATAACAATAAGACTGTGCATGAGGCACAAGGAGGGAGATGGAATACCTATGCTGTCGGAGTGCAGTGCATGCTATGAGCTAATGTCGCCAATCAAATAACGCCGACTGTGTAACGTCACGGCTTTCATCGTCTTTCTTTGAGAACATTCTTTGAGGCTGGTAGACCGTGACAGTGCGTTTTTCAGCCTGTGTGTATGTATTTTGCGTGTCTTTCAGCCTTTGACTGTGCTCTGACTCAAGTATAGGAAGGCCGTTTGATATCTTGGAGCAATCCAGGCGGCGACAAAACGGCGTGCTGTATCTTAATCAAGTAAGCGGCAGTCGAAGGCACACGCTACAGTGCGAGTCAACGGAGTGAGCGCGGGCGGCCAAATCACAGCGCACTCAGCTCTCGCGTCGCGATTGTTGATTCAGAGCTCTGCCTACCCCTATGACATGTGCGCGGGTGTTCATAAACGGCTCCTCTCGACTGCACGCGGGTCAAATGAATCAAAATGAACAGCTAACAGCGCGATAGGAATCGGTAGCATGGGTAGTACCACGGCCACTCGATCCGGGGGGTCGAGTGGCCGTGGTAGTACTCACCCAGGGAGCGACGCGCGAAGCGGCGTGATGTCCGTCGGCACTCCCGTCGAAAAAGGCGAAATAAAGACACAAATACAAATATACAAGAAATATCGCGCGCAGAAGAAAATAGAAACACTTAGAAGCAATAAAAATACACTGGAATAGATAAAAATAAATAAAGAAATCGAAAAAAAATGAAAGCCGTTTACAATTCCCTGTAACGCCGGTTAGAGCGCAGCTCATGAGGAGGAGAATGAAAGCGTACTGAGGGATAGGCGACTCCTTGAGGTCACGTGACCTCAGGGGGGGGGGGGGGGGGTCGTGCGACGTCAGGGGGCACGAGACCTCTGGGGAGGGGGTCACGTGACCACGGGGGTCGCGTGACTTCAGGGGGGTCACGTGGCCTCAGGGTGGTCACGTGCAGGGTTGTAAAAGTTACTTCAAAAATGTACCTAAGATACAGTTACAGTTACTCATACGAAAATGTACCTGGGTGCGTATCTAGCTACTCGCTTAAAAATGTACCTAGGTACAGGTACAGTTTCTTCAAAGGTACTTTTTATTTTCACATCAAGTATTTTTCTCAAATTTGTCGCATTATTATTGGAAGTAAATCCTTTGTATACTCGGATGTACACAAAAACAAGCTTGATAAACGTGCTTTATTGGTGTCAATGGGAGAAATAAGGCAAAACGTTCTCACCAGAGCATTCGTATACTTTGTCTTTTTCACTTGAGTGCTCGATTTGACTTCAGAATCAGGACTTCTTCGAAATGTTCATCCGACATCTACGATTGCAGTTTGGAAGCAATTGTTCCTCCTATGCTAAAAATGCGCTTCTCCGCCACACTGCTTGGAAGCCCTGTGTTGAATTTTAAGAACACGCTTTCCAGCAGCGGCATGTGCTTGAGACAGTTCAGACTTCTTGTCGGAGCAAGTTCGGTGTACTGTAGAAACTCCTGCTCCCATGAAGCAGATGAGGACGATGTTTCGCAGTTAAAGAAGTGCTCACAGTCTTCTTCATCCTCACCACTTTGTTCGCCTGACGACGCTTTTTCTATAGTTGATGTTTGCATAAGTTCGTTCCTTAGATAATCCCAGGCCCGCTTCCATTCCACTTCGTTGTCTATCCATGCAACCTTAAATTTTGGATGGCATACGGCAGATATTATCAAATGTTTTTCTTCCTCCATACCTGCAAACCTCTTATTGATCGCCGCGATTAAGCTCTCGACCACCGGGCGGCAGTACCTGAAGTTCTCCGTCAGCAACGCGAACATTTTTTTGCGAAGTGAAGTCACTGTAGGCAGGAGATATGCCATGAACATGCTGTTTTCGCGCTGGAGAAGAGCTATAGCTTGTGCGAGAGGTGTAAACACCTGAGCATACTCATCAATAAGGTCAATGTCTGACTTCGTGAATCGCGGAATTCTAAAATTCTCGCAAACTTCCTTCAAATTTCCACTTCACAAACTAACTCATTCGCCTTAAAGAGAAATTTGAAGAATTTACGCAGGATCGCACCCACGACCCTTCAATTGCGAGCCAGACATGCTACTGACTGGGCAACGGAGGGTTTGGGAATGGCACTGCGATCCTGCTATCATTACAGTGCCTCGATGTCTGTGTCAGCGTAAAGGCATTATCGCATCGAGTGTTGCTAGCGCGTGCCGAGCAAACACATAAATAAACCTTGCGGGGTAAAATGGCATCAAAGCACTGGCAAAAGCTTCTCGATCGCGCCGGGAGTGTTGTATCAACTAGGTCTAAAACTAGGTCGTTGTGTGACTCAAGAGCTTGAGAAGCGATTGAGAAGGCCATGCGAATGGGGCCCGATAACCCTATCGCGTTCAACTCTTAAAGGCGAAGGTTAATTGTCCTCCCAGTTTTTTTTTCTTCGCAAACATTTTCAGTTTTGTAAAGTGCACAATTCGAGTTCGATTTATTGCGTGGAAACGCTACGTGATGTTAAATTGCTTTACGACTGTAATTGTAATTTATTTTCAGTTATATGTTGTATTGTATTTTCTACGATTTTGACGAAGTGAATAGAAAAGTACCTGTAAAAAGTAACTTCACTTAGTTACAAGTTACTGGAAAATGTACCTAAGATACAGATACAGATACTGAGAAATGAGAGTACCTAGGTTTGTACCTCAGGTACAACAAAAGTACCTAGATACCGATTTACAGTTACTTGTACCTAGGTACTTTACAACCCTGGTCACGTGACCTCAGGGGGTCACGTGGCCTCAGGGGGAGGGGCTCACGTGACCTCGCGTTTACGCCGTCGGCGACGCCGCTCAAGCCGGAAACGGGCCCCTAAGAGCTGCGCTCTAAAACAGGATTAAGAGGAGGCAAGCGACAAGGCAAGGCGATCTCAAGGCAGAGCGGCCAGGCGAGGGACAGTCTGTCCCACGATTCCTCGCGCGCGGGCCGGGGCGCTTGGGGGATTTCGCAAAAGGTCTGTAGCGGTGAGGCGGCAGGTGGAAAACAGACGCGCAACTTTGGCTCCCGTAGGAGCCTATACAGGAACTCTACGCTACTCTAAAGCCCCTTCATGTTTCAGAAGTAGCGCAAGGTGCGCCGATGCATGAGGCACGTGCAACCCTTGAGAAGATCATGGCGGCACAGCGCAGCACTGAGCTAGATTTCAGACGCCATGTTCTTCCCAGAAGTGGAGCGCGGCATGTGTCTCGAGCATTTCCACAACAATGAATGGCGCCACTTTTCCCAGGATAGAGGGCACCGTGATAGAGGGGCTTTATGCTACTCTGCTCCGAGGGAGCTATACAGTGCTCTAGCTGAAACCACTGAAACGGCGAATTCCAATGCCTCAAAGCCCGATGCCTCTGCGACGCCTGGGTTAAGAGCGCCTCCCCGCGGAGAGACGCCGCTTCCTTCTCTTTTTCCGCATATAGAAAGAGCTGGTCCTCCTGCGAAGAGTCTGATACAACAGTGCCATCACCCCACACATCAAGCGACTGTGGGGCATCTCGGCGAGCAAGACTGAAAAACAGAGAGCGGGAAAGAAGCAAAACGCAACCCCAGGACCCCTACAGTCTCACACCTCAACACTGGCCAAGCCCGAGACATGGCCTTATTACAGTATAACCCTCGCAGCAGACCTCCACCACCTCATGTGGAACTGTTCACAATTCGCCCCCGCCAGAGACAAGGCACTCAACTCCCTCCCACTCAACCTGCGGTCTTCTGCTCTGGAGAACCGGACCAGGCCTTCCACGGACCTCCTGAAGACAGAGATAATCCTAGACTCGGTACTTCTCTTCTTGAGGGAGTCCGGCCTGGCCTCGTCTTTTTAGGGGAGCCGTCGCAAGATAAATCCCAGTGCTTGATGCGAGTGCTTGATGTATCAATAAAAGTCTTGCACCACCACCTCTCCGCACGAATGGGACGCTCGTCTCGGAGGCCATTGCTGATAGGGCCACTGGGTTGCGCCAGTTGACAGAGGGCTTTCAAAAAACAAATTAGTCGTTAATTGTTTACACAGTGTTCACAGTGACATCTGACTCTCTGCAGTGCGACTGTTAACCCAGTGCCTGGACGGATCAGTGGTCTTGACGTGCATCACGTAATAAGTTAAAGAGAGGCAGAGGGGACTGAACTGAGCCAGGATCTCTAGGTTCTGGAGCGTGCCCCGCTCTTAGCGGTTTACTTCACCGTCTTTTCCATAAACCAACTTTCTTTCTCTGCCACCCGTTGCCCTGCAATACATAGCTTGCATGTGACGTCATTTGCGGCCATGGTAATTTTATTCGCCGCGAGTAGAGTGAACTAGAATCCCTCTAGCAACGAGCGTTCGGTTCGTCGTGTTCATTTCATACCGCATAAGTGTTCGAAGAAACCAGTAAGTAGAAATAACCGTCAGTACCCAGCAATGGCGACGCTTGCAAGGTATGTATTGCGGGATCATTATTTTTAATCGGCTAATAGGAATAACATATATTCCAGGTAACACCCATACAAAAAAGGTACATCTAAAATATATATTTCAAAAAAAGGCAAGGGGATTGAAGCAGCCGTGCACGTTCTTCGCGCGCCCCACCGAAGCTCGTAGGAGCAGCTCGCGGTTCTTGGAACGGCATTGGTCCCATAGCTGCTGGTGCGAGAGCCGGCCGAGCTTCGCCGTGCCTTCCCCCGCAGCACCAGTGATTTCTCCGGCCCGACACCTGCGCTTGGCCACGGCGGCGGCGACCCGAACGACCGCCAGCCCGCGTCCCCGCTACGCCTGGTCCGAACCCTCGATGGCCAGCGTGACGGAAAAGCGCCTGCTCGTCGGCTTCGACGACCTGGGCATCCCGGACTGGACCCAGGTGGAGTTCCTCACCTTCTCTCGGGAAATCAGGCTCTGTTCGCTGTGCGGCGTCGTGTCCGTCACCACAGCGACCATCTCCTGCGGACACGTCCTCTGCACCTTCTGCTTCCGCGACCACGGCGATGGGACTGTCATCAACTGTCCCGTCGACAAGGTATACGCCAGCATGCCTGCCGCCAGGAGCTAGCTTATCGCGTAGGATTTCGCTCTTTCAGAACGTTTTATAGCATACATCGGCCATATAGTCTTCCGTGTCGCTCAAAACAATGTAACAGTCAAAACTTTTTTTTTGGAGGGGGGGGGGGGGGGGGTTGGCACACATAAATTTGATTACATTTGGGGGGTGGGAACTAAGCCTTACAGCCCCCTCGGCTACGGCCCTGCCTCAAGACACGGGAGTTTCGGAGCTCGTGGGTGGAACTGGCTGGCAAATGTGCGGTGCGGTGCACGTTATGGCGGCAGTTGTCTATCGTTCCAAGAATATCGAAACTGAGTAACGTATCTAAACTGAATCAACGCGGACTGGTCCAAACGCTTTGCGTCTCCCCGCATACAGCACCGTCACAAGCCACTGTATCGAACACGCGCTCCAACCGCGTGGAGAAGGTAAGAAAGCATATGCGTCACTAAAAGAGGCCACCGCGCGGGGCATAGCTTGGACCACGGTGGAAAAAGAGGTGTCTGAACGACGCCACTCGCCACGGAGCAAGTATGTCGAAGATTCGCTCCCATTGCAGACGAACACCGTGAGATATGGCACAGCACGGCAGGAGCTCGAGGGACCGACTTTATACATAGCTTGCATGTGTTGCCATTGCTGGATACTGATGGTAATTTCTACTTACTAGTCTCTTCGAGCTACGACTTCTGCAGTGAGGAACTAACACGGCTAACCCAATGCTCGCGGCGCATAAAATACTCGCATGCACGCGAATGACGCCACATGCAAGTTATGTATTCGCACAAACGTTTTCAAGAGAGCGACGCGCAGGTCCACGCCCGCGCCTGCGTGCAGAAGCCCCTAGGCTCCCGTAGGAGCCCCAACCCGACAGTGCTCCTGCCGGGTTGGGGCACGAAGCCCGAGTGGAATTTCGACCCGTTTCTGGCCTTGTTCAGACGAGTGGCGTCACTAGGGTCAGAGGTACCGCCAGCGGTACCCCGCCGCAAGCCAAGCCCCCCCCCCCCCCCCCCCCCCCCCCCCAACTGCACCCCCTGAGTGCTATATCCGGGGCGGTCCGACCCGATGACCGCCACTGGTTCGCACACCTCTCTTTTTTCATTGTGGATTGGTTAGACCAACACCTCTACTCTATACAGTAATATCATAACCTAAACCCTAGGAGAAATAAAATAACGAACATTTCTCATTGTCTCCATGTTCAGATTATGATGTTCCCTAACCAGATCGGCCTCAGCAATCGATTTTTTTTAAACCTTTTGATGGGATGGAATCTTGTTTTTCGTCTTATCTGTATGCTGTTGCGTCGACATTTGTAAATATGCGTGGTAATATTCTGGTTTTTACTTTCGCTCCTTGCAATCCTCTAGGTGGTGTTGATTGGACACGACTGCAACGTCATTATTTGCCTGGGACTCGGGTTCTCACTAATTGAACACGAGTTTCAGGTGAACGCTGTCGCAGCACTCGTATCTGTGCCCTGCGGTGGCCTCGCTTAGTGACGCAGGAAGATTTATCACTGAGGCTTTCTTACATACTTGGTGTTGGTATCAGCCCGTTTTGATCACTCTGCCACGCCCTCTGCAACGGAGGTGCTGCCACTGGCATGCACGCCGCTTTGTCGGCAGTATTCCGGATGTCGCAGCGGGTTGCGCTGCGAGAACTACGCATACTCGGTATGACAAACACGTGCACAGCTGACTCCTGGGACCTGCGGCAGCGGCCTGTCGAGGCTGAACGCTCGACATATCGGAGAACTCATTGCCCCTTGAAGTGCTTTTTTGAAATGATGAATTGCATTTTAACGGGAACAAACTCAGCTTGCGACCGCATGAGCCGCGTGGCAAAGTAGAATGTACCAGAATAGGCCTCCCGCCAAAAGCTTTCGGAAACTACAACAAAGGAACAGTGGGAGAGAGTACGTAGCTTTTGTAGACCGCTTTCCTGAGATTTCGTTTTACCAATTTTGTTTATAGCTAGCAGTGTGAGAGAAGTCGATTCCGCAAGCACAAGTATGAACGATGCTTTTATTTCACGAACAGAGCACCGCCCTTGCACTCGAAGAGAAGGTCAGACAGTGGCGCCCCAAGTGGCTAACTTTTGAACTAAACGGATGGGAACAGCAAATAAAAATGACTCAGCGCTCGGCTGACGTAACCAAACGCCGCGCCAGCGTTTGGCTAATTGTATCCAGTGGAGGCGAAGGCAACGCCTCTTTCTAGGAAGGCGAGACGGGAGATGAGCGCGGGAAGAAAGGGAGATCGCTAGGAATGTTAGAGAGAAGAGGAAGTTTCTACTTAGCGCTTTTCTCGCACGTGTCCCCTCTTTTTCGTCCTCGTTTTTGCGCGCTTTCTATTTTATCATGAACTGCTACCAACTAGCCAGTGCGGCCAACCTTCGGGATTTTCCCCTAGATCTAGGGATTTCCGTCATCATTTAGGGGCAAAGGGAAATTTGTTAAAATCTAGGGATTGTATTTTTATGGGTGTCAGAGGGCCTCAGAGACGTGTTCCTTCCCTTTTTCCTCCTCGTGCCGGCCGAGTCCAGTGGAAAAAGGCTTCTTTGTATATTGTTGGGACCAGAGATAATTACAACAGCGACTTGGGTGTGGGGAGGGGGGGGACTAAAGGCCAAATTAAGGCCCGCTTCAGACGGAGCAATTTCACCCAGCAACTTGACGTCGCAACACCAGCAACAGGGGCCGCCCGCGTTCACACGCAGCAACCGAATTGCTACAACATCATCATCATCATTCAATTTGACTTTTCTTTAACTATTTAGACGCCCAGATACGCGCTGAAGACGTGTCCTTATATCTTTGAATGGCGTTGAGGATACTAAATCATTTTTTTTTTCTGAAAAGCTGTATTCCCAGAAACGATCAATTTCAAAGCAGGACAAAGTCTTTAGCTGTCATCAACACCACCACAGGGGTGTCACGTGAAAATATCGCGTCCCTGATTGCCTGCTGCCGCTTTAAACGTCTCCGAGTTGTTCGTCCGTTTCGAGCCGGACCCGACCTCAGCAATTCGTGTCGATCTAGGGAAAGCTAGGGAACAACCCGCCAGCAACCTCAAAATTGCTGGAAAAGTTGCCCCGCCTGAAGCGGGCCTAACAAAGTTTAATTATGTACAAAAAGGTTTTAACGAAGCAAATTTAACCTTTAAATGGCCACCCAACTACAGGAATCTATTCTTGAGCTATTCCATAACGATAATCTCAATATTAACGCAAATTAACACTTTTTCTGAAAATCGGGAGCATTTTCCGATAAAAATTGGGGAAGAAACGGCCGCGGAGGTTGGCAACACTGCAACTAGCCCAACCTTCAACCCTGCTAAAGTTTCTATCATACACCCCAGTCTTTTTAGTGGTCGCCCTTTTTTCCCTCGCCTGTACTACAGGTTAAGAAAAGCTTTCGAGGGAAAGGAAGGCTGGGGAGGAGGAAGCAAACGGAATGCTGGAGAGGATATGAGGAAACCTCCACCTCTCTCCAGCGTTCCGTCTGCTTCCTCCTTTCCAGCCTTCCTTTCTCTCAAAAACTTTTATTTAACCTGTAACTAACTATAGTGACACGGAGTATTCGCGACTCCAGCGACCTATAGGGGGCGCCACCACCAAACAAACATGGCGGCCGAGTCCAGGTCGCGTCGGCTCGGCCGCGCCGCCTGAACAGGTGGCGCGTTCAATTTAACAGATTTTCTTTTGTTTAATGCCCAATTTTATAGGTATTTAAACTGAGACGGTTAAGTGTAGCCGGTGCACATAAACTTGCAGAGCATAGTTCTGTTTTCCCGGTGATTTTTGTTCTTTTCATGTCAAACTTTCGTTTCGGAGATTTCGTTCAAAACCGAATCTATGGGCGCTGGAGAGACGGTAATATACTAATCAGTATTGATCATCTAAGGAAAGCGGCAATGACTGCAGAATTCTTCCACCGACAGTAATTTTCAGCCAACTCGCATGCCTCGACCATGCGACTTATCTGTCCGCGAAATCGAGTTTTTGTGCGTATCTGCGTTTAAGAAACAGCTCCAGTCGTCTGCTGGGTGGATAACACAGGCTGCAGGAAAATTACGAAAATTAAGCAAGCGCTTCTTGAGCCAAGGACCATGTTAACCCGCCGGCACCCCGCAGAGCAGCTGATACTCGCATTTCAATTCAGGTTTTAGTAGCAATCGAGAAGTCATTTTGACGAGCGGGTTATGTATTATATTACGTACTATGTCCCACTAAAGCGATATTAGTATATTTTTAGGTTTGAAATATGAGCTTAGTTAACTAGCTATTAGGTGAACTGCTCAATAAAAGTATATTTGACAGACAGAGAGATACTAAGTTAAACTTAGCCAAATGGTTCTAGCCGGTAGTACGGAAACGAATGCGGACAAACTGAAGAGAGTCTTCATTGGAGATTCACGCAGAACCTCTCTGGCGTTGAACTTGACTTCGAATCCTGAACGAATAAAATAAGTATTTTTGTGACCGGTCAACCTGAGCAATGTAGACGTATATTGCTGCTGGCTTAATTCGGCGGGGGTATAATATAAATATTGGAGGCGCGGTAGATCATAATGCCGTGACAGCTTCTAACGTTGCGAGACGCGTCCCCCACCTTCTGAAAACAGATAATTTCCCTCATTCACCATTTGCAGCGAGCAGGTTTTCCTGAATCAAGTAACTGCGAAATCAGCCCAACTCCTTCAAAGTGGTCCAGAGGCTTTTTTGGCGCAAAGCAGCCAAGACGAATAGGCAACGCACCGACCGGCGTGGGTGGCTCAAACTTGAGGCTAATCGAACACAACCAAACTCAAGAAAAGCAGCTATCGAACCTTCCCCTTCTGTAACATTGCAACATTGGTGTTCCCTCCAGTGAAATGCCTCGTCTGTCGTCCTCCCACTATTCTACATCCTTATAAAGAAACCCCTTATCAGTTACCAAGTAGTCGTCACTTTGATAGTGATTCGAGACAGACTAGAAGTCAAAACGTTTTTCCGCGATTCCTCCCCATCCGAGAAATCGAAAGCACGCGACCGTGTGTTGTGGAGTAAACGGGCTTTCAAACACGTGATGGAAGGAAACAATCTACTGAGGCTTCACCACACTAATGAACACTCAGGCAAACTTAAGAAATTTTTGGACCTTCGTCAAATTACACTGTTCGCCATCGCGCCGACAACACTTGTCCGCGAAAGCCGCCAGAGACGCGGAGGGGCGCGGAGCGACCTGGACCGGCTGGTTCCCGGTTTTCCCGCTTGGTGGCGTCCGTTTTGCTGGAGTCGCGAATAGTTGTCTGGTCGCCCGAAGGGGAGGGGGGGGGGGGGGGGGGCTCTTTTGTTACCATTGCGGCCTGCAGAAACAATGCAGCATGCACGGTGTATATGTCCAGCTCAGCACACCAAAGGCGAAGTGGGTCAAGCTCGCATTCTCTGACGACTGCTTTCGGGAGAGATTCGGCACTAATAATAAACTTAACTTCGTTCATTGTTAGTGTTTTTACGTTACACTGTGCCACGCGCCTAATTGATGAAGATGACGTAAACATTATAAAGTGGACATGCCCGCAAGGCCTGTGGGCATGTCCACAGGCTTGTGTTGGGTAAACACCAAGGTGTGGGGACAACAAACGGGTGAGAGCGCCCTCCATAGATCGATCTCTTCGCCCCTGGATATGTCAATACCTTTGTTTAGCTGAAAATTGTGATATGCGTAACTGCATCTGTGGTTCAATGTTTTATTTTGTATTCGTGTTCACGTTTGCAGTTGTTTCCTGGCTTGGCCTTAATTACTTGCTCACACGTTCGGGGTTTTATATTTTTATTAAAATAAAGAAGACAACGCAATACTACTTCACTCGTCTGTTTAGTCATTTTCCCTGGACTTTAGAAGCAAATTTTGACCTTGCTTACTCTTTTTCTCCTTTCCGCATTTTTTGCCTTAAAGGTTCGGACACTGGCTGGAAAGGCCAACTTTGAGCGCAACAACACAGACCTGCTTCTGTCGTTACGAGTGGCCTGTGTGAACCGGCGTAATGGCTGCCGCCTTCTTGACAGCCTACGGGATATGAAGGCGCATCTGAAGCAGTGTGAATTCCAGGCAGTACAATGCCAGATGTGTGGCAAGAAGATCAAGTTGCATGAGGTACCAGGCCATGCCCGTAAAGATTGCTCGCGCATCCACAAGCTTGAAAGTGGCAAGCGTGTCATTGCTCCACCAGTAATTCAACAGGGAGCTTCCCCGGCTACTGATGGTACAGTTAAACTATTAGTGCCAATGCCACAAACACACACAACTCAACAAATGACGGCAGCGTTGATGTTGAACCAAGGCGCGGAGATGCAGGCAGTGGTAACCCCTCACACGGTCCCGCAGATGCTCGTTCAACGACCACTAACGTCTGCTGCAAATCACTCAGACTCGCTACAGCATGGGGAGATTGTCTTGCTTCAGCAGAAAGTGGGCAAGGTGCATGAAGACGTCCGCAGGATGGCATCCAAAATACAAGGACTCAAGGATGAGACAGCCCGAGAATTGGAAAGCTTCAAGAAAGAGATGCAGAAGTTGAAGGGTGACAAGGGGGACTATGGAGCAATTGTGAACGCCCTAACGGGCCTTAGGAGTCAGATGAAGGGGAACATGACTGCAGTGGGAGAGGAGTTCGACAACCTCAAGGAAGGGATGAAGGTGTATGAATCTAGCCTTGAAAATGTTGGGTCACTCAAGGAGAGAGTAGATTCAAAAATAGAGGATGTGGTAAAGGACATTGAATCCCTGAAGCAAACGGTTGAATCCTGCTCAAATCTCAGCAGCACCGTTAATGAGATGAAAACTTCGATTGCTGCCATTCAAGATATGAAGTACGTGTCAGAGTTTGTGAATGATTTTGAGCAGACCCTCGTGGGAGACATCAAAGGGAGTTCGGGCGACAAGAAGAAAGCCTTCACTCAGCAAGTGGAGATGCTGAAGAAGTGTGTAGGGGTTATAGATGAGCTGAAGACAACCGTCAAGCATAAGGACATGGAAACAGTAGTAAATGAACTTAGAGTCATCCGGGAAGATCTTAGTAGATACAATGCACTGCATGAGAAAATGGAAGGCATCACTACAGATTTGAGTGGACTGAAGGAAGTTGTGAAAGAAGCTGGAGACTTTAATAAGAGTGAGCCATCACTCTCTGAAGAATGCCGGCTAGAACTCGAGAAGTCCAAAGCTGAAATTGTGCTCCTCCATGAAAAAATCTGCAATATTGTCAGCGACGTAAATAAGCTGAAGGGCAACTCAGAAGCTACCAAGGAACAAGTACCCTACGAGGAGGTTGTGACAGAAGTATGCAACTTAAAAACCAAGCTTGAGAACTTCGATGCTCTTGAGGATTCTCTTCAGGAGACCAAAGAAGATGCCTTTGCAAGATATACTGCTCTGTCAATAGAATTGAACGAACTGCGTGAAAAGACATTAAAAGCAGAGGAGTACCAGGGCAAGACTGAAGGAACGGAAAAAAAGGTGACAGAACTTGAGGCAGAGCTGTCTAATCTACGCACAACAGGCGACGACATCCACAGACTGCAAGTAAGCCTCCAGACATTGAACAAACGCTTCAATCGGAAGTTAGAAGAGCTACAACTTACGCTGCAGACCTCAATATCCGATAGACTAGAAAATGTTCAGAAACCACATGAACTGGCAGATCTGAAGTTATCTGTGCAAGACATAAAAAAAGAGGTTCAAATGCTGAATGAGCTGAAAGCATCTCTTTCCCTCAAGGACACATCTAGGAAAGAAAATCTCACTGAAATAACTGAGCAAGTCAAGACTCTGAATACCCTTGTGAACTCCTTGAATGAATCATCCATACTGCTGCATGAGAAAATGAAGAACCTTGAGGGACTGCACACTGCCATGGATAACATCAAAGGCAATGCAAAAGAGTACAAGGAACTCAAGAAGAACTTTGCAAAGCTTAGCAAGACAGTTGAGGAAAAGCTTTTGAAGATTGAAGAGGCATAGTTCACAATGCATTTTAGGTGTTTTTCCTTCTCTTTTGTGTACACTGCAACAGAAAGCAAATTTTCTTATTTGACTGTACTCTCAAAAGTCAACTGGGCTATAGCATTTGTGAGGGAATAAAGGCTTTTGCCCTATCACAAGTATGTAAAGCCAATTTGGTTGGTCATGTGGGATTAAACACAATCAAGGTTCCTAGTTTTTAGATAAAATTAATTTTATTTTAAAACAAAATGTCATCCCAAACTAATATACTCGTCTTAAAATTAATCAAAATGGGCTATAGTCGGTTGCAACCTAAGAAAAAACCGGAAATGCCTCTCAGAGGAAAATGTAATCCTACGCCGAGAAACGCCAGCCAATCGTTTTCATGACGTCACGATTCCGTGGACCAATCGCGATCCTTTTGAAAAAAAAAAAAAGCTCAACATGGCTGCTGGCCTTAGCAACGCGACGCTAGTTTCTCGTGACAATTATTCTGCTTTTTTGCACCGTGTTTTACGTGCCCGAGGTTACGCCACGAAATCTTAATGGTATCGGCTTGCGTTTGCAGCAGTTTTTGCGCGACAACGTGAGAATCCAGCGACGCTCTCGCCAACGAAAATTTCGAATCGGGCGCGAGGCTTAGCACTGCTGAGAGCTGGAAGACGGTATGTTAGACAGTATCTTGGACAGAAAATGAATTGGGAAGACGGTATATTGGACATGACTTTCTTTCTTTACTAAACCGCTATTTCGTTGACAAAAACGTATTCTAACTTATTTAAATTTCCTGAATGAATTAAATAAATATTGTAGTAGTTTAAGACACGTTTCCTGGAGGAAGAAAAAACGTTGCTAGCGAACTATTTTCTCGACGGCGGAGGCCCTTCAGATGGGCGCAATGCGCTTGTGGGTGGAGCTAAAAGATTGTTCTCAGGTTGCATCCGACTATAGTAAGACTGAAATATAAAATGTGAATTATGTAAATTAATTTGCATACACTACCTAACATTCACTTAGAATTCTGCAATATTAAGGTGCAACCCCACCGTGCGTGACATTTTGGTGCTTTTTGACGGCTTATAACTTTCTTTGTAGGTATGCTACAATTATAAAGTTAATGTCAAATTAAATAGCTCTTTTTCAACGATACTTTAATGTCTCGATATTACGATTATGTTTAGTATTTAGTTGATTCAGCCTGTTAATAGAACACAAATCTAATATAGAAAGAAATATCGAGTTAAAACGTCCTTTCGTCCACGATATTTTACGTGAGCGTTCGGTTGGATATAATGAATTAAAAAAGTAAGCAATGAACTGTACAGATAATGTCTATCTTAAATAAAGAAATAAGTTTAAAATGGTATTATTTTGTGGTGCTATAAAAATCGAATCACGTCAACTAATCAAAATTACGAGACATTAAATTATGAAGCATCCTTCGATGTTACAATTTCCAGAACTTCCATATTGATATATTACACATTAAGAACGTTATTCGACCTCAAACTTTTCCCCTTCAGTTACGGCAAATTGCAGCTTCTTAATATAAAATGCAGATGGCGACACGCGTTCAAGAATAGCTTGATGTTCATTTCCGGACTTCCTCTTCTGCCTCTGATGAGTGCAGACGTGTTTTTCTCGCCTCGGTTCTTTAGGCCTAACAAGCCCAAGCGAAAGATTCTTGCCCGCGCCAGCGGGGTTCGTCCCGAACCTCAGCAGCCTGGAGGACGCGGAAAATGGAACACCCGGTCACCAAGCCGGCCCAGATAGGGATCCCCAAGCTTTTTCGGGGACAGTTCTGAAGACCCCAGCAGGCACTCTCCGAGTAGGATCGAAGAACCGCGCCATGACAACAACGAGCCCTTACCCGACCGGAAGCAGCGGTCCGGGAAACTCCACCCACCCAATAATAGCGGGACAGGCTGCCACCACCTTCACGATAGTACCACGGCATGAGGCCCAGCTATACCTGGCATTCAAGAACAACCGGCAGGGGATAGAGGAATACCTCACGAACAAGACAGAGATTGAGGCATTCCTCAAAAACAAGAGCGCTTTTGAAGCGTACATGGAAAAGAAAGAAGAAAACGACATGCTGATGCAAACATTGCAACGTTCCCAACATGACCTACCGGGAGATGAGATGCTGACAGAGAGCGGCACAACTCCGGTTAGGCCAGTGCATACGACAACACCAACCTCCGAGAGTAATGAGGGAGCATGGCAAGGAGTGAAATATCCTAACAAAGATCACGATATCAAGATGGATCAATCTCAACCAAGTAAGTCAGCCAAAGGGAAACCCCCAACTCAAACCATTGTGCTAAAACCAACATGCAAGCAGAGCGTACACACTTTTACAGGAAGAGACATATATTCAGCGATAGAGAAAACAGGAATTCGAAACAAAGATGGCTACTCGGTTCACATGAACGAAAAGTCTAACACAGCCATAACTACCAAAAACCCGCTGATCACGAGCAAACTATTGAGCATCGCCCAAATCGAAAAGGGCCAAAAAAGCTATGAGGTCACACCCTATATGGCAATTTCAAGCAATGAAGTACGAGGGGTGATCTATCTCCATGGAAAAGATGTGAATGAGACATCTGAATCGCTCATGGAGGGGCTAGACTGCCACACTCACAATATAATCGCAGCCAGGCCCATTGGTAAATCCGGAAAGACAATTCTCGTCACCTTTGAAGGAAAATTTATCCCGAAGAAAGTCCGTTTTCTTTGCGAAGTGCTCAGTGTGGCAGAGTACAGGCCCCGGCCTTTGGTATGTTTTACATGCCACAAGCTCGGACATAAGTCGGACGTGTGCCCCAGCACCACCAAGAGGTGCGACAAATGTGGACACACACATGGGGACATCGATGACTGTGAACTCGAGCCTAAGTGTAACAACTGCGGTGGCCCACACATCGTATACAAGTAATGATTGCCCAAAGCGGCAGATTCCACCTAGAAGGAAACCGACCAGGAGGCTTCCTCCAAACCGACGCTCCTCAGGGAATGCAACTAAAACGGAGGAATCATGGCCTCCCCTCCAAGGAAACGCATGGAGTACACCTTTCAGGTTTGCCACAGGTACGCCACCGATGGTGTTTGGACGCACCCAAGAGGAAACCCCATCATCTATGAAGCATACGACGGTTTTCCCCGGGAACTTCCCTGGAGACGTCGATTGGATGAAGTTCAACGAAGCCCGAATGACACGCCTAGAGGCGGAGCACAATGCCATGGAAAGTGCCATTCACGACATTAAGAGCATGTTGTCCAACATCATCAACTGATTCAATAGATAATACTCTTCCTCTATCCAATGTAAGTTCTCCAAAGAAACAGAAACAACGCCCTCCCTGGATCTTTCAGTGGAACTGCCGAGGTTTCCGCACCAAGGCAGCCGAATTGAAACTGCGTATAGAGCGTATGAAAGACGATGCGCCCGTTGTTATACTACTGCAAGAGACAGTAGGGACAACGCCCACGATTCCTGGATACTTCACCCTCACCGCACCTTCCATTCCACGATCCAGCAATGAACGCGGTGGCTCTCTGGACACTCCTGGCATGGTCCTCACCCTGGTAAGAAAACACATTCCCCAGTCCCAAATAGACACCTCCTCTCTCAACAATGAGGAAAGAGAAATTGTTGGTGTCCGAATTCGGCTAGGAAATAAGACTTTCCGCATCTACAATGTGTATCTCCGCCCCAATCAGTCAGATTCGATCTGGTGGTTGTGCGTGGATTAATGAAATAATGAATAACACAAAAGAATCAGTCATCCTTGCGGGTGACTTCAACGCACCCCATAACCAATGGGGCTACAAGAAAACCCTTCGTAGGGGGCGCCTCATAGCATCACTCTGCAAGAAGCACAATCTCGAACTTCTCAATGACGCCAACACCCCAACTCGCTTTGGCGCTTCACCACAACAGGATGACACGTCCCCGGATCTGACATGGGCATCCCCGGGCCTCAGAACCAGGTGGAGTGTCTATACGGACACTATAGGGAGCGATCACGTCCCTCTCTGTACCACACTCTACATTGGCTGCAGCCCACGCAAGGAAATACGTTTCATTAAATGGGACACTTTCCGTGAAGCACTCTCTACTCTTAACAACACTGACCTTACCCTGCGCATCCAAGAAGCCATGCGCAAGGCTCAATCTACATATCAGGTCAAGGAAGACTCCCCATATCTGGACCTTCATCTCCTAAACCTGTGGGCGAGCCGACTTCAGGCGCTCCAACAATACCGTAAGAACAAGCGCAGCCAAATCCTCAAAATTAAACTCAACCTCGCTACCGCCAAAGCCAAACGATACACACTGGAGCTCGACAGATGCACGTGGCAGAAACACTGCAATTCATTCAACGAAAGGACAGGGCTCAAGAAGGTCTGGCGAACCTACAAGGGCATGGCCGGGAAAACTAAGAACAAGAACACGGGCAGCAACTTGGCCCTGCATCTGAACATTTCCGAGGATGAGTTGGCAACACTGGCAGCAGAAACATTCTTCCCTCAACCTTCTACTCCATCGCCTTCTGACTGCTACCAGGTCCAAACAGAAAATGTGCATCTTCCCGAAGACTCCCTCTTCACTATGGGGGAACTGGTGTTTACACTGAACACAGCCAAGTGCAATACCGCCCCTGGCCCAGACTGCATAACCATTAATGCTTTCCGGAATCTCCCGGAGGTCGATATGCAGGATCTGCTGGACTGGTTTAATGACGTGTGGCAAACAGGGCTGCTCCCCAACGATTGGAAGCTCTCGACCGTCATACCCATCCCCAAACCGGGCAAGTCGCTTACTAACATCAAAAACCTGCGTCCCATCTCCTTAACATCTAACCTGTGTAAGGTGATGGAGCGCATGGTCCTCACTCGAATCACGTGGATTTTAGAGACTCACAACAAATTGCATCCTATGCAAACAGGATTCCGTCCTAACCTCTCCACGCAAGATAGTCTCGCGTTCATACATCACGACATTATCG